ATGATAGTTGACAATAGCGTACATATATAAAAATGGTTAAATTGGACTTTTTACCTATAATATTTATATGTTTTTGTAGATAGGGCCTTTTGTTTTTTTATCGCTAATTGTGGAGGGTCCAATTTTTTGTGTGGACATTTGTTTTGATGCAATACATTATAATCAACAATAAAATCGATTTTGAATTTTTTGTTAGTTAGGTACGTTTGCGTTTCAGCTGACGATATTTATTTATTTAATTATATTATCTAATATTAATATTTTTATAAGCTTAAATGGATTTATTTTAATTTGCATGTCCTGGAATTCAAGCCTTTTAATTTTTTCTGTTTACTGATCTTTTTTTTTCAAAAAATTTATATTAAATTGTTATATTATTTTATATTAAATTGTTATGAAGGGTATAACCCTTCACCTTCGTGAGAAGGGTATATATAAGTTTGTTGTTCCGTTTGTAATTTCTATAATATAATTTTCCGACCTCATAAAGTATATATATTCTGGATCCTTATAGGTGGCGGAGTTGATTAAGCTACGTCCGTCTGTCTGTGTGTTTGTTAAAATCAGTTTTTAGAGCAGACGTCGGCGCTAGTATTGTTCTGACAACGAATATTTTCGGCAATTTACATGTACACAACACGATCGCATACGAACTTCTAAACAAGAGCATCAAAAATACAAATATTTTATTTAGTTGCTTGACAGCATCACAGGGTATACAGAGGCGTCACGAGCAAAAAACTATTTCCCTCTCTTTCGCACAAAACGAATTCAATAATTTTTTTTAGCTGTATTTTATATACCTCTTCTCACCAAACAATTTCAAAATCAAACAAAAGCTGATTTTAGACTTTTTTAAATGTCAAAAGTGACACCTCTGTATACTTTGTGACAGCATTCAACAAAGCAGGTTGATGTCCAGTGTGACCATTTTGGCACTTTTGCAGCTAGATTTAGCATTTTTTATTTTGATTTAGCTGTAAAATTTTAATTTGTCATTTTATTTAACCTTTTTCTTAAAATAGTTTTAGCTTTTTTGTAATTTTAGTATATAAACAAAAAAAAAGACAAATTTTTGCAAAAAAGATTTATATTGGAAATAGGTTTAACCGAAAAAATCAGAATTAAATGTCTACCCAAACACAAGCAACAAGAAATATGAGAAATGTAATAATTTACACTGTAATTCAAAATAATGCAAAAAGATTCATGAAGATAAATAACTTAAAATTACGCCAATACAAGTGAATACTTTAAAATGTTGTATTCTAAAATATTTTTCTGGAACCCAATGCTTTTTTAAAATCGAGGTGATAGAAATAATTCAAGAGATTTCATATATTTTTACAAATACGTTCAGTACGCTATTTTACAAACTAATACTTTTTGTTTGCTCATGGAATGAAACATATAATTTTGGAAAAGGCTATGTATGACGGTTAATTAACAAATTTTATTTTTTCCTATACGAAATAAAGAGGTTTTAATTTTTATCATCCTTCAGGAGTTCTTGTTAATTTATTGAAAATAAGTATTGAAAAAAATCAATAATATATAATTAAGACTTTCTCATCCTACTTTCTGTTCTTTTTATTTTTACCAAATTTTTAGTAATTTTGTTGTCACGTTTTTTTTTTTAATTAAAAAAAATACATAAATTTCGAAAATATTATTGACAATTTATTCCAGAATTACAAACTTACGGATTTGAATATATCTCTCAATTCATTTCATACATTCTCATATATATTTTTCCGAAAAAATCTTGGAAGTATGAGTTATAAAACTGACATCTATTCACCGAGATTTAAAATTATTTCAACGGAATTTTCAATATTTTTGTGACATGAAAACCATTTTTAAAGTGTTTTGAGGAAGACAAATAAAATTGTTTATATAAAAAAGTAAAACTAGAAATATTATACTTTTCCTTCCGAAAACACATATAGGTTTTATACCATGAGCAACTAGTGTAATTAATAGAGTTTTAATGTAATTTTTGCATTCAGAAATATTTTAAAGTATTGCTAAAGTATATTGCTAAATTTACAAAAATTTTGAAATAATTTTTAGCATTTCTGTTTATCTTAATACCACGGAACTTAATTTTTACCCTACTCCACTATACTACGTTTGAGTATTCTAATCGGTTAAGAATCATTTTCTGAATCGATTAAGCCATGTAAGTCTGACCGTCTGGTAGAGGTTGAAATTTTCAAAACAATAAGCACGTATACTTTTTGATCCAATGACAAAACCCTTTAAAAATGGTTAAAGTTCGTCCTTTATTTTACCTAGCCCCCATACATATACAAATGTATAAAGCCTTTCTCAGAAAATTATTTTAAATATATCGGAACCAAGGATGAATTCAACATAAATGCTTTATTACGAAAAATAAATCAAATTTTATACTCATATGGTCAACCACGGCAGAATATACTTTCTTACTTGTTATAAATTACAATGAATTTCAGTTACAAATTAATATGAATTGTTCATAAAAACACTTAAAAAATTTTAGCATTTTTTTTTTGGCATTTTAAAATCAATTTAGCATTTTATCTCTAGTTTTAAATCAACTATGTAAATATACATATCGTCCCTGTTTTGAATTTTGGTAATATGTGGAATTTTTTTTACTATTCGAAATTTTTTTATTACTGCAATTTGTACATCTACTGGTTATACTTATGTGCACAAAGGTATTTTTCGATATCTTAATTGATTTAGGATTTAGCAAAAGTACCTATGCATTTTCCACATATTAAATGAGTTGATTGAAATCATAACAACACCGTAATATTATTTTATTTACACTAGCCAATCTAACACCGTGAATAATGGATCCTCTCTCTCCTTTTGGTGCATCCATGAACATAAAATCGCTTTTTGGGTCGATTCAAACTCGTCCGTCCTTCCGTTAATATTTCTATTACAACTTTTTATGTAAGATAAATGATTTAATAAGAACTAATAAAGTATTTTCTGCTAATTGATGCAAGAATAGTAACACAATATCTTTAAAGTATTAATCAACTGATATTTTAAGTAACACAGCTAAGGAAAATAAAATTGTATTGGCTACAAAAGTTGTAATAACATCTAATCTCGTACGACGAACAATAATCGCGATATATGCAAAGATTTGATACTCATGACCTTTGACTTCTACTAAATATCTCACCATGACTTTTAGTTCTTTATTAACATTTTCTAGATGATGTTGTATACTTGTTTTTATTTTACCGTCTTAAATTCTAAATTTTGGTCAATTTGTCGGATAATTTGGATAGATTACGTTTACAAATATTGCTGAAGTTATGAATGTAAAACTGAAATATTTTGCCAAAATATTTTTAGGTGACCCAGTTTGCTTGCGAAATATCGGTCAACAACTTCACCTAGCCCCCATATTATGCCCTATTCAGAAAATTACTATATTGCTTAAAAAAGCATGTATAGCGATGAAATTCAATATGAAAAAGTTTTTTTTGGAAATGTATTTGTCAAAGTTTATGAGGATCGGTATATAATTGATCACTCATAATGTACTGCAATATAGAAACAAAATTCAACATAATAAGTTTTAAAGGAACTAAAATACCTCTGTCTGATTTTATGAGAATTGGTCCATAATTGACCATACGTCTCATATAAGATCTCCTACAAAAAATTACATTATCGCTCATAACTGTCTTCATAATACGACGAAATTTAACATAGTTACAAGTTCCACTTCAGAAAATGAATTTGTTATTTTAATTTCCAAATGTAAACATGAAACAAATAAAAATAATTTTGTTTACTTTTTTCTTAATTTGGTTATTTTTTATTCGAGTTTTGGTTAGAAAAAAATTTTGTTGTCGCAACACTGACCCTAAATAATTTTCTAGAATGCATAACAATGAAAGTAAATAAGTTCATCTTGTTTCATATTTTTTTGTACATTTAAATTTGAAATGTTGTTTCTATGTGAAGAAATTATCATTCTTATGTACATTGATTACATTTTGTTTATAAATATTCGCATTTTACAGTAATGCAATTTAATCTTCAAAATTAAAAATAACCAAATATTTTTTCAGTGCAATTTCATTGAAAAATGCCAATAGTGTGTGTGTAGTGGTGATTTTTTTATCTGCCTCTCTATACGCCGGTATATGTTTTAGAGGACCCTAGATATCGGCAAGATCCGAATCTTCAATGATTCTGTTAGACATGCTTTCGAGAAGATCGCTATTTAAAATCAGCAAAATCAGCAAATGCCTGTGTGTTTCATTGCCTTGTGTATATTGTTTTTGTTTCTTGGTGCATTCAGTTTTGTATGTTTGGATGTCTATTGGTTTCAATTTTTCCTTTCAGAATAGAAATACAAACCTGCGGTTGCGGATTTATAGCCATTTTATTGTTTTTTGTTTTTGTAGTTCATAGTTATTTATTCAACACATGATTTTTGTTCATAGAAAGTATGAATGACATGGCAACTCTAAATGTAAAAGATAGAAAATTCGTAAACAAATTAAAATAAATTTTAATTTGGTGCGGATTTCTTCTACGATTTAAGTTGTCAAAACTCAATATAAAAAAATAACCGTTTCCGCAGCCACAATGTTGTATTTCCACTCTTACTCTCATATACATATATACATATATATATATATATATATATATATATATATAGGTTTTTACTCTCAAATTAAAGATTTTTCCATACAAATTAAATTTTTTTTAAATCCAACTCAATTTTCTTCAACATAAATTGAATTTTATTCGAAACAAATTAAATAATTTTCAACACAAATTAACACTTTTTTATGTCATATTAAATATTTTTCATTTTAAATTAATTATTTTTTATTTTGAATTAACCTTTTTTAAATTCAAATTCATTTTTTGTTAACTTTACGCAAAATACTTAAAAATTATAATTATCTTTTTGTACATTAAATGAAGATAAAGCTTTTAACTACTATTAAGTCTTATATTTTATTATATATTCATTGCAACGGTTCTCCAGATGCAGCTAATGACAAAGACATGGTCATATCAACGTAATAATTATTGCAATCAGATGGTGTTACTGATTCCACGGATTTTTTAATTATGGCTACCAGGTCCATATTAATATCTGGATCGGCTAGCAAATTTCGAGCACAAAGTTTAGTTTTTGAAAACACTTTTTCTATTGGGTTTAGCATGGGTGAGTACGGTGGAAGAAAAACTAAAGTATGCCCAAACTCGGCTATTTTGTCTTTCACTATTTGTGTTTTGTGAATTTGCGCATTGTCTAGTATCAACCAAGCACCTGTGATGTTGGATTCGACTAAATTGTTAAATAATTCTTCCAGAAAATGTGTAAAAATATCAGTATTAACAGAGGAATTGGCAACTATTTTTTTGTGTAAAACACCATGTATATTCATAGCGGCAATAAGAGAAACGTTTCGTCCTCTAACGGTGGGAACAATAACATGGGCTGCGGTATTCACTCTCGACCTTGCCTTATTTCTCCGAAGGTGGTAATTGAATCCAGATTCATCAATAAATATTATTTTTTCTCTTATATCTGGAGCATTTTGGGCAAAATTTAGTGCATATGGAATGCGTCGTTGAATTGTAGTATCACAATTTATGCGGTCTATGTTAATGGTTGCAGTTTTTAGGGTTATTCGTAAAGTTTTTAATGCATTATGTATACTTGTTGTACTTAAATCTACATTATGGATTTCTAGAATCTTTTCGCGAATGCCTTTTAATGTGATAGAAGAATTTCTTTCGATAATCTCTTCAATTTTATTTAATATTTCGGTATTTAATTTTGAGTGACGTCTTCCACCACGTTTTTTTACGGCAACATATCCATCCTTTTTGTAACGATTTATAATAGATGTAGCAGTGTTTTTATTAATTCCAGCTATTTCGGCAGATTCAGTAATGGTTTTTCCTTCTTCATAAAACTTTATTAAAATATCTTTTTTATCTGAGCTTATATTGTTATATTTTCCACGACTTCTACGATGTCTGTTAAAAATAGATATTTCAGATACGCTTTCTTCTGAAGAACTATCTGTTAGAAGTCGAATACGCCGATTATTTCGTACATTCAATTCATCAGAACTAGAGGAGCGATCACTTTCTGTTATGGAAGACATTCTTTTATTTATTTAATTTAATGAAATTTTACACGATCTATCAAATAATTGACTAGTAAGAAACAGTTTACTGTTAAAAAATTAGCTTTTGTATACATAGTTGCCAGATGATTTTGGAAAAGATAAATATAAAAACCGTCAAATTGTATTTTGAAAATCACCATGAACATGAATTTTAATTCCTTAAATATACAACATTGTTTTTTTATAAATTAAAAAAAAAAAAACTAAAAATGGTAAAATCTAAACCTTTTTTTCTATATTTATAAATATAATAAACATCAACTTTTAAGCAGTGTGATTCATATTGTTTGTTACTGAACACATTAAGAACAACAACAAAATGTTGTTGAATTTTAATACTCGCCCTGTTTTGTACAAGACGATTCGAAATTTAAGAAATAGTGAAACTAGGAATTGGGTACAGTGTTTACACATTTAAAAAGGGTTACCGGCTGAACAACAGATGTGTATATATTTTTATTATAAAGGTTATTTAGTCACCTTTAATGCGGAAATTTGTATTTCCTAGATGTGATTGGAGATGTATCTTTGTATTATTATATTTTAAGCTTCCTGCATTTAATTTAATAAAGAATGAATTTGAAATAAAATAAATTGATTTTGAAAATAAAATTAGTTAATTCAAAATGCAAAAGAGTGAATTTCAAATGAAAATACGTTAATTTATATTTAAAAAATGTTAATTTGTGTTGAAAATAATTTAATTTGCTTGTAATAAAATTTAATTTGCTTGGAAAAATATTTAATTTGAAATGAAAAATCGTTAATTTGAAGGTAAAAACCTATATATATATATATATGTATATATATATATTTTATCATTTTTCTATTTATAATTTTAAAGAAAATTTATGTATTTAGAATATCCTATGAAAATGTTATTAAAATTAAACATAGTAATGTTTTAGAGTATGTCCATTGATCAAATGATTTACGTAATAACAAACTCAAACATTTTTCAGAATTTCTCTTTTTTTTGGGCCAGCACTTAGGGGTTATTGGATATAGAATAGTTGGTAGTGGGAAGAAAGATAGAGGGAGTAGTCTTTTTTGACATTTGATTTAAAGGAAATTTGTTTTGCATACGAATAATTGAAACATCTAATATACATACATTTACTAGAGATCATACCAAGTTAGTTTGCAAGAACTCAATGTAAAGTATTTTAAAGCATATTTGCCAAATGTCAAATGTGTGACGTCGAATAACTGTACCGAGTTACGGTTTTTTGAAGTGCATGTTGACTATATGTATTCGTGTTAACTTAACCTAAGTTTTAATTTTGATTATGGAGGAGAACTAAAAAAAATCAATTTGATATTCTGTACAGTCGTACTGGAATAATTGGTGTTGGCGTTACAATCTTTCGATTCGACCAAGATGCAGCTAAGCAAACAAAAAAACAAACAAAACTAAAATCTATGGAAATTTATAAAAATTTCTCGGTACTTAAAATAATTACTATAAAATCGTATAAATACCATCAAACATGTATATTATATACATTAGTGCTGTAATATTCTACTACTTTTGATTACTCAATACTACTCAATACTTTTCGTTTGGGTACTCAATACTACTCGATACTTTTAACGGTTTTATTTTAAATTAAAAACGAGGAATTTTTCCTTTTTTTAAGTAAAGTTAGACGAGACATCACACCTCTTTTGAGACATTTTATTTTTTTAGATAGCGTCGATAAATATTTGTAACTTTTTAACTATTATTGCAGTGTTTAAATTATTTTTACATTGATTTGATATTGCTAAGAGTTGCATTTCTAATAATGATATGGTCTATATTAGATTTTAGAGCTGTATTTTTTCACATCATAGCCGTTAAATTTAAATAAGTTAAATCCATATACAAGTCTGAAAGTATTGAGTAACTACTTTTTAGTATTGAGTACCCAAAAAATAGGGCAAATACTCGATACTCGATACCCACTACTCAATACTTTAACAGCACTAATATACATGGAATATAGCTTCGACGATTTTACACTCAATTCATCTGGCAACTATGCCTGTATGGTAAATTTTATCTAAGATTGAAAAAATATACGTGTTTGTGTGTTGAACGCAGCAATTCAACTACAAACTTTATACATATGTACATACATATTACATATTTATCTTACTTGGTTGGAATCTTTACTTATCTAAAGCACCTTTATGTGGAGTGTATTGTTAGTTTCTCTTTTTACTCAACAGATGGCGTTGTTAATGTTTCCTATATTTTCTAATAAAAAGAAAGATGATATTATATAGTCTGTCTTCCACTTAGACCTGGTCCACACTAGAAAACTTTTGTTGAGAAACTTTTTCTTAATTCTCTTTTGAAGTCTCCTTAATGTCCGAACATGAAAACTTTTGTTTCAGAAACTACGTATTAATTGCATTGATTTGTTGTTGTACGAATGAGAAGAATAACAAAACAAGTTTCCGAGTACGGGAAATTCCGTACCGCGAGAGAGATGAATGATATTCTTTTTCTTTCTCTCTCACGCAAAATCAAAAGTTTCCCAAAAAAAGTTTCCTAGTGTGGACCGGCAGTTACATAAGTTTACAATTTAATACTTTTTGATTTTTAACTTTTTTCCAAACTTCGAAATTTTAAGATAAAGAGGTTTTAATTTAGCATCTTTCTTCAGTGGCGCTGGTAAAATATATCAAAATAAGTATTGATTTTTGGGTGCTTGCACCTGTTTAAATTCTAACTGGTTATGGGCCCAGATCCCATAAGGATACATTAAATAAATTTAATAAGAAGACATAAAAGCTGTTAAGATAAAAACAAGTAATTCCATTATTAAATGGAACAAACTATGGTTCGTGAAAAGCTCAAATGGAAGCGGTGCTACACAAAAATTGCTAAATATTGTGCTAGGCGAAGAAAAAATGGAAAAAGGGATCGGGATTGATGAAGATCTTCTCGTTTTCATTATGGTTGATAGTTTATCGGATCGTTTTTTTGCCATCAAAGCTGCAATGGATATAACAGATGAATTTCCAAATGTTAGAGTATTGAAATCCAAATTATTGTAATTGGTGACAAAGAACAAAATTATGCAAACAATTATGTTTTTAAAGCTAAGTCAAATAAAAATAAATCATATGATCAACCCAAGAAAGGGTCATAAAGCTGAAGATTGTAGAACAGACATACGCGAAGAGCCACCTTACGAGCTCTGTGGTTTTCCCTCATTCACACGTACTTACGTCATTCTCTTAATTTTGAAGTTTTTTGATTGAGATACACACAGAGAAATATCTAATGTTAAACATGATGATAAGTTCAGTTTGGCGAATTTTATTTTTTCTGAGTGAATGTGATAAAAAATGGAAATTTTAAAAAAGTTTAATTATCGACATAAACTCGCAAACAAATGTAATATCCGTTACTATGTTATTTCCAGAAATATAAGCCGATGTCCTGATAATATTTTCACTTAATTGACATATAGACCATCCATATGAGTGCAAAACATCTTGGTGAATATTTTTATACACTTAACAATCTATTTTTTTTTTAATTTCATAAAATCTTCCATTGTTTATTTAGTTTTAACTGCACGGGTAAATATTAAGGAACAATACAGATAATAACAATGATCCGAAGTTTTACGAATTTGTACCTAATGAAAAAAAGTAACCCGGAACAAAGTCTAATAATGAACAAGTAAGAGTGCTATATTCGGCTGTGCCGATTCTTATATACCCTTCACCAAAGTGTATTTAAAAAATATAAATTTTATAAAATTTAAATTTATTTCATATTCCCGACAATATCATTATTATAGTAATAGCTAAACAAAATAAACAACAAGTAAGAGTACTATATTCGGCTGTGCCGAATCTTATATACCCTTCACCATAGTGTATTTAAAAATTCATTTTCCCGACTATATCATTATTATAGCAATAGCAAAACATAATGAACAACAACAACGCTAAACGAAATAAACACACAAAAATCAAATACACAAGGCAGTAAAACCAACAGACATCCAAACATACGAAACGTAATACAGAAAAAAAAAACAAAAACAAAATACACAACGCAATGAAACCAACAGACATCCAAACATACGAAATTCAATACACCAAGAAAACAAAAACAATATACACAAGGCAATGAAACACACAGCCATCCAAACGTACGAAACGAAATACTCAAAAAAACAAAAACAAAATACAAAGGCAATGAATAAGCAGTGTTGTTGTTGTTTATTTTTTATGAAATTTTCAGAGGTTGTCTCGGATTTTTGCTTATATCTCCGTTGTTTACGAACGGATTTTGCTGATTTTAAATAGGAAACTTCTCGAAAGCATGTCTGATAGAATTATTGAAGATTTGGATCTCGAAGATATCTGGGGTCTTCAGAAAACTGATTTCAACAGACAGACAGACGGACATGGCTTAATCGACTCCGCTATCTATAAGGATTCAGAATATATATACTTTATGGGGTCGGAAAATTATATTTTGGAAATTACAAACGGAATGACAAACTTATATATACCCTTCTCACGAAGGTGAAGGGTATAATAACAACGCTAAACGAAATAAACACACAACAAGTAAGAGTGCTATATTCGGCTGTGCCGAATCTTATAAACCCTTCACCACATTGTATTTAAAAAATATCGATTCTATAAAATTTTAATTTATTTCATTTTCCCGTTTATATCATTATTATAGCAATAGCAAAACGAACAACAACAACGCAAACGAAATAAACACACAAAAAAACAAAATACAAAAGGCAGTAAAACCAACAGATATCCAAACATACGAAACTGAATACACCAAAAAACAAAAACAATATACACAAGGCGATGAAACACACAGCCATCCAAACATATGAAACGAAATACTCAATGAATAAGCAGTGTTGTTGTTGTTGCTTATATCAAAGCATAAATAAATTTTCTGGATAAATTTTCAGAGGTTGTCTCGGATTTTTGGTCAT